GTCAGCTCTTTGTTGGTGCAGTTACTGGCACAGATAGAGGAGTCATATTTACATTCTGCTGGAGCCGTCGTCCTTCGCTGCTCTCCTTGCAGTTCAAGTTCAAACAAAAATCTCGACTGCTCTTTCAAGGAATCACCAGAAATGATCAACAATAAAACTTGTCCATCGGTTCTACTGGAAGAGCAATCCAAAGTGTGTCTCCTGGAACAGTTGTCCATCTCCTGGAACAGTCGTCCTTCTGCTGGAACAACACTGTGTCTCCTGCAACAGTCGGCCATCTCCTGGAACAGTCGTCCTTCTGCTGGCACAACACTGTGTCTCCTGCAACAGTCGGCCATCTCCTGGAACAGTCGTCCTTCTGCTGGAACAACACTGTGTCTCCTGCAACAGTCGGCCATCTCCTGGAACAGTCGTCCTTCTGCTGGAACAACACTGTGTCTCCTGCAACAGTCGGCCATCTCCTGGAACAGTCGTCCTTCTGCTGGAACAACACTGTGTCTCCTGGAACAGTCGGCCATCTCCTGGTACAGTCGTCCTCGTGTCGTAATCTCCTCACAGCCCCAGAAGATCAAACAGGCGACCTTCCACACAGCCTCACCCAGGAAGCCAGTTAGAGACAGTTTGCCCCGGGGACGGTAAGGGCCTGTGTATACACTGACCTGCCAACACTCCCGGGACCTCCTGATGACTTCCAGGGGCCGCGGTCATGGGCGCTCTCTCTCTCTCTCTCTCTCTCTCTATCTGTCTCTTTATCTCTCTCTTTATCTATCTCTTTATCCATCTCTCTGTGTCTGTCTCTTTATCTCTCTCCCGTGTCTCTCTTTATTTCTCTCCCTCTATCTCTCTTCCTCATACAGAAAACCAACAGAGTTTTATCTCATAATTTTTTTCAAGTGTTATTAAAATAGTGTAATCACTTAACCTTCTTACACGCTTAACGACCTTAGTTGTTGAGGCTCAGTAATAACATCATAACAACAACAAGAATTTCCTCTATCTCTCTCTTTATCTGCTTATCTCCATCTTTTTATCTCGTTCTCACCTTTCATTCCTCTCTTTATCTATCTCTCACGTTACCGCTATATCTCTGTGTATTTCTCTATCTCAGTAATTAAATGGATCTAGGGAGGCTTCCAGCGCTGAAGTCATGCTCTCTCTCTCTCTCTCTTTCTCTCTCACTTCTCTCAGTAGTTCATTCCACGTCTGTCTCTCCCTCTTTCTTTCTCACACCAAAAAATAATCATAATTTTAATTACAACAAAATTATTAAGATTTCACAAGGCGCTAAAAACTGATTGGTGGGTTTAACACGGGCGTTGACTGATGATTGGCGGGCTTACTAGATAACTCTCCGCTGATTGGCAGTCTTTAACAGGATGCTGGCTACTGATTGGTGCATTTAATCAAGGCGCTTCCTGCTAATTGTCGGATTTAACGGAACACTGATTGTTGATTGGTGAGTTTCACGGGGCTGGGGGGTGGGGTTGGAGGAGGTGGTAGTTGCTGATTGGCAGGTTTCCAGGGTCGCTGGTTGCTGATTGGCAAGTTTAACGGCCGGATGACGAGGGTAATGACGGGAAAATGAGGCCTTCCTCTCTGAGATACGACACAGTTTTAACTTGGCCGCGAGTTCCGGTAAACTTCCCCGCTAATGACTGAAGATTGGATTCTCAAAAGTTCCTACCTTACCTTCTCTCTTAACCGGAGTCGTGGGAACACCTTCAGATGGTCCGTTTAAGTTACGACTTTCAAGATGGCGTCAAAATCACCACTGAGACTCGACGTAAGTGGGTGGGGGGTTCTCTCTTCTCTCACCAAGATACACGGAGAGATATTTACGTAAAGTGTCTCTGAAAGGTAGGTGTGTGTGTGTGTGTGTGTGTGTGTGTGTGTGTGTGTGTGTGTGTGTGTGTGTGTGTGTGTGTGTGTGTGTGTGTGTGTGTGTCTGTGTGTGTGTGTGTGTGTGTGTATAACTCAACTATATACACAAACAAGCCCAGATAGACTAACCACAAACACACATACACACACACGCACAGACAAACAAACACCAATCCACACGCACACATAAACATCTACACACACCGACACATACACTAACACTCCGTCATTCCCAGATCTCGGGTACTAACACACGGTCGTGACGCGATTAAGGGCAATCACCAGTCGAGTTGCTTGTTGACCTAACCTTAGCGGAACTCCCCAAACTCCATTATCAGGTCAGGTCACTCAGACTGGGTCAACAACCTGACCAAACACTCTAATGACCCCCCCCACCCCCCCTCCCCTTCTCTCTCAGGTACGACTTTATGGTGATTACAGGTGTGTGTGTGTGTGTATGATTGTCGCTTCTAATTATACACTGACGACCCCCTTCTCTTAATTACCCCATCTACGACCCCCTTCTTTACCTTCATCTACGACCCCACCTCTTAATTAATCACCTCCGACCCTCTCGCTCTCAATTACCTCACTTACGACCCATCTCTCAATTAACTACCAACAGCCCCATCTCCTTCCTTCCTTCCTTCCTTCTCCTCCTACATCTTCTTCAACCTTAATTAACCCCCTATCCTAAACCCTCTTCTCCCTTTCCTCCTCCCCTTCCTTCCTTCCTTCCTCCTCCCCCAACCGAAATTAACCCCCTACCCTGCAACCCCTCCTCCCCCCACTCCCATTCCCTCCCATCCCCCTTCCTCTTCCCTCTGTACCAGTTGTGGGTAATCAATGGGTATTTACTTCAAGCTGTAATTAATAGGTGGTTGATTGCTTACCTGAGTAATTTCCAGGGGAGTAATTAAGGTCAGGGGTCATTCGTCAGAGGGAGGTCAACACTTTGGGTACACACACAGGTGAAGAGTAATAGTGGGGTGACGAGTTAGTGGAGGGTAAAAGGTGTTAATGAATGGTTACCTTTGGAAAGAAAAACATTGGGGATTATTTATTTTTTTTTTTTTAGTCATAGTCGGGGAAAAAATAGGGAAATTCTGTCTATTGGATGGGAGAAATAGGGGAGTTTTGAAGAATTATGGGGAATTTACTGGAATTTTGATTAATATATGGGGAAATCAGGGAATACTGACATACAGTCTATAGGAAAAATAGGGGAATTCTAGCTAAATAGTGGAAAATAGGGAGATTCAGACTAAAAGATGGAAAAATAGGAAACTCTTACACAAAATAACAAAAAAAAACATGGATTTAGAAGAGAAAATTTGACATTAAGACCAAAATACAAAATTATCAAAATTAGAATTCAGAATATTACAAAAGAGTATAGACTGAGAGACAGACAGACAGACAGACAGACATGTAGACAATCAAACATACATACAAACAGATCTCAGGACATACAAACAAACATTAAAACAAAAACAAAAACAGACAAGATCTCCCACTATATATTCCCTCTACCACGTTCACAGGCGGAGGTTAAAAATCACGAAAAAAAGAAAAGAATAAATGACGATGGAAAAGATACGAAATATATCCCCCATTTTTTTTATCCAGGTGTGAAATATATCCCATGTATGTGTCTTCATCTTCTGATAATCCCAGTGATACATAGTTCTGATACATGATAGACATAGAACGCTGTATAATGACTCATTCCACTGTGATAGGAAACTGTGACACATATACATATACATAATGTAGATGTTGTATGATGTATTGCTATGTATATTGGATTATATGTGAAACCTCCATATAACGGACTCCTCTCTCCATATAACGGACTCCTCCCTCCATATAACGGACTCCTCCCTCCATATAAAGGACTCCTCCCTCCATATAACGGACCCTCAATTTAAAACTCCCAACCTTTTCCTTCCTCTCCCCTTTCTCCATTCTCTCTCCTCCCTCCCCCTCTTCCCTTCTCTTCATCCTCCCCTCCCCCTCAAGCCCTCTCCCCCCCCCCTTCCACCACGCATCACTGAGCACCATAAAACACATCCACACGAGGGAGGATTCTAGCCAGTGATCTCTGGAGACCCACAATCCACTGCGGGTATTCTAAACTGCAAGACCCAACCAGTCGTAAGCTGAACAACTTCACTTTTTTCCCTCTTGTAACTCTTAAGGTAAAGGAAAGCTCAAGTCTCAGTGAATATTGGCCACCATTTTGTCTACATGTCTGTCTGTCTGTCTGTTTGTTTGGATGTTTGTTTGCCTGTCTGTGTGTCTATCTGTCTGTGTTAGGGAGAAAAAATAACTTACGAGCATTTGTGGTTATGGACCCATAGCTAAGGGAGGAAGGGAGAGGTGAGGGAGAGGTGAGGGAGGAAGGGAGAATTGTTACCAGATTAGTGGGATATTTGTGGAGTAACGGCGGGGGGTTGATGCAAGGTTACCAGATCAGATGGATTTATGACAGGATTAAAGCAGTGTTACCAAGTTAAGCAGGATATATGTAACGGAGGGATTAATGCAATGTTACCAGCTAAAGGAGGATTTACGGGACTGACGCAACTGTTACCAAATCTGGAACTTGTGGTGCAGTGTTAACAGAGCCTGGGGAAAAATCCCTATTGGAGGGAAAAAAAGGAAAGAATATTTTCCTTTCTTTCATTGACCTTTTACTCTCTATTGTAAGCGAGGGAGTGTGTGTGTGTGTGTGTGTGTGTGTGTGTGTGTGTGTGTGTGTGTGTGTGTGTGAGAATGCATGTATTTAAACGTGTGTCTGTATCAACAAGGTATTTATTTACACAGAAAAACATCATTAGAGACACAACTAAGATGAATGAATAGAAACAATGAGAGAGAGAGAGAGAGAGAGAGAGAGAGAGAGAGAGAGAGAGAGAGAGAGAGAGAGAGAGAGAGAGAGAGGAGGCAAACAGACAGACATACAGACTCAACTTACTAAACCACGCACAACAGCCTCACATGGCCACCACACTCTCACCTTCACCCCAACCTCAACCCCCCTCCTCACCTCAACCACCTCCTCCCCTCTCACCCTCCAACCTCCTCCCACCCCCTCCCCCGTGCTTACTCGACTCTGGACCCGAGACTCCGGGGTTTACAGGGGATGTGTGCCGGGGTGCCTACTGCCGCTACCACTTGATGGGGCGAATCCGGGGCAAAGTGTGGCCCCGGATCTGGTGACGGGGATGCCTCTGGAATGGATAAGGGTTCCTCCACGTCATTCCTCCTCGGGTCGATCCTCACTTTACTGTCCACCACGGTATCTGAGGGAGAGAGAAGTGAGAGGTGAGAGAAACGAGTGGTGAGGGGTGATTGGTGAGAGGTGAGGGGTGAGAGAAGTGAGTGGTGAGGGGTGAGAGGTGAGAGGTGAGAGAGAGGTGAGTGAGACGAGAGGTGAGTGCAGAGAGGTGAGAAGTGAGAGGTGAGAGAAGTGAGTGAGGGGTGAGAGGTAAGTGGTGAGAGGTGAGAAGTGAGGGTGAGGGGTGAGGAGGTGAGTGGTGAGGAGGTGAGGGGTGAGAGGTGAGTGGTGAGAGGTGAGGAGGTGAGAGAAGTGGAGTGGTGAGGGGTGAGGGGTGAGAGGTGAGGAAGTAGAGATGAGAAGTTAGGAGGAGAGGGGTGAGAGTCTAGGGTGAGATATAAGGGTGAGGGAGTGAGAGAGAGAGAGAGAAAAGAGAGATTAAAGAAAGTTAGTAAATCTCTAGTTACTATTTTCTTTTCCTCGTTTTCTTTCTTTCTTTCTTAGTCTCTATCTCATTTTTTTTTCATTTTAATAATTTCATTCTCTTTTAAATACAGGGTGACAATTAATTCATGGCCACAGAGTTTTTAATGATCAATTGTTTTATTCTAATAATAATAATAATAATAATAATAATAATAATAATAATAATAATAATAACAATAATAACAATAATAATAATAATAATAATAATAATAATAATAATAATAATAATAACAATAATAAACAATGACGTCAGAGCCTTTCTTCACTGCTGGTCCACCAAAGTCTCCAACAAACTCTTAATATTCCACATATATATATTTTAATTACAAGTCGTTCCAATACTCCGGCTAACCAATACAACTTCACTAATTACCAAGATCAGGAAGATATATATAATCGATATAAAGCCTCTAATTACAAAAAAAAATATATATTCTTCCGATTTTTTGTTTTGATATACGGTATATTAGTAATTTGGGAAGGATTGGTTGGCTGTGAGTGATTATGCCGAAGAAAAAGTATTGGAATTAGTTATATAAGGAGCGTCTGTCTGTCTGTCTGTCTCTGTTCCTATGATGATACGAATGATTTGGTCGCTTGTACTTTTGAAAATTCGGTTCTTATTCGCTAAGTATTTATATATTTGGTTTTTTTTTCAGTTGTTTTTCTATAGCTAAAGTACTAGATTAGAAACTTTAATTCATTTATTCTATGAAACACGTACAACGAGGCCCCAAAGTTTTCAAATTTAAGAGAACAAACTTTTCAACCCTGGGAATTCGCGACTGTTCCAACAATATGACCAACTCAGCCCACCTTTCTACCTTCCTATTCTTCCTTTGTAAACACTTCGCTATATAAAACGAAAAAACATATATTTTCATTTCTTATTAAGACATTTTACGACACAAATAACGAGAGCAGATATTTCTTTTTTTTTTTGCATTTAGAAAAAGAAAGTTTCCTGCTTGTGAATTCACGACGGCACTACCTGGAAGTTTATCTGACTCATTTAAAGACGAAATCTTCATGTAAACTGTAGGCATCTTAAACACAAATGAAGATAAACAAAAGCACATTCCATCTAACTTTGGAATATCTTATATGTACAGCATGGATAAAGTTTTGTTTATTTAGAAAGAACAAAGTTTGTACCCGTGGGAGTTCACGACTGTTCCAACAACAATATGCTTGGCTCCTCCTTTACCCGGGCGAGTAAACACTTGACTCACTTGGCTATACTCGACCCTCACGCTCAAGTCTTTAATTTCACCACAGTATTACCCTGACGTTACCCTCCTCCTCTCTTGTGCTCTGACGAAAAAGTAATTGGGATAAAAGTTGGGAAAAACACAACTCATCACTGGCGTTCGAGTACGATGAAATTGGACATTCAAGCGTATCTTCGCGTTCGAGTGTGAGAGAGTTTAACGTTCGAATTCACCCTTACGATAGAGGAAAAGAGAGTTTAGTTTTCGAAATTATCAACACCGTTCGAGTATGAAGACTTGCAAGCGTTCGAACTCATGATGTGGCTGAAACCATAATAATAAAGGGTCTTTGTTTTTGTTTTTTGGCGGGAAATTAACAACCCATTTAATTTGGCGGGAAACACGCAACAAATAGTTTTAGCGGGAAACGCGAAATAGTATTAAATTTAGAGGAAATTGCGAAACATCTTGTCGATTTGGGGGGAAACAGAACTAAGGTTGAATTGACGCGGGATGTAAATAATAGCTAATGAATTTTACCGAGAATCAGCTGATATATTTTGGTAGGAAGTATAAAATAGTTGATGGATTGTTGGCAGGAATAAATAAACACCAGGTAATGGGTTATGGCGGGAAATTAATCACAGCTGATGGAATTTGGCGGCAACTAATATACCAGATGATAAATTTTGGCGGGAAATAAACATATAATAAATTTTGGCGGGAAATAAACACATCAGATAACAGATTTGGGCGGGAAATAAATACAGGTTAATGGATTGGGAAGACAAGTAAACAAGGAACAGCAACAATAATGCCATCCATTGTGTGTGTGGGGGGGGAGGGAGGGAGGGGAGGGGAGGGGGGGAGGGGGACGCACGTACCTGGCCTCCAGCAGGTAATTACTGCCATAATTGATGATCCAAAACTTTCCTCTTCCAACCCTGAGACGCCGACCAGTCTGAAAGGTTCCTACGTTAAGTTCTCGCCCCCCATCGTCCTCCTCCTCCCCGCCCTACTACTTTCCACCCTCCCTTCCTTTCCTATCTTCCTCCCTCTTCCTCTCCTTTTCTTTCTCCTCCTCCCCCCTCCCTCCTACAATCCTTCTCCTTCTCCCTCCTCATCCACCCCCCCTTCTCCTCCTCCTCCCCTCCTTAACTAGTGACGTGAGAATGCATCTGACTGGCACACTTGTTACGACAAAGTACCAGATTCTCAGAGGCCATTACGGTAATTTTTCTTCTTATCTAGCGAAGGAAGAAGGTCTTTAGCTGCCCTGAGCTAGATTCGGAGCAATTACGGTAATTTTTCTTATCTAGCGAAGGAAGAAGGTCTCTAGCTGCCCCCTCCCCTGAGCTAGATTCCCCGGAGCAATTACGGTAATTTTTCTTCTTATCTAGCGAAGGAAGAAGGTCTCTAGCTGCCCCCTCCTGAGCCAGGCTAGATTCTCGGGAGCAATTACGGTAATTTTTCTTCTTATCTACACAAGCGGCGAGAACGTATCTAACCAGGTTCACTTAACTTACGACAAAATTCTCGATTCACAAAGACTGTTAAGGTAAAATTAACTTAAGTAGAAAAGTGAGAACGTATCTAACTGCCCCACTTAACTTACGACATTAAGTTAGATTCTTAAAAGAACTTGTTACTTAACTTTTTTTCTTGTTAATAGTAAAATTGAGAACGTACCTAACTGACCCATTTAAGTTCCGAAATTGCGATAGATTCCCCCCCCCCAAATTAAAAATGGCTACAACTGGAGATGTTAAGAAAGTATTGAACAGACTTGAAGCCACAACCAAAACACAAAAGATGGCTACCCAGAACTTCTGAAGCAGGTAACTGGAGATGTGAGGACGCATCGTAATGACCTTCTTTTCAGCTGGCGAAGCAATTGCAACTTAGAATCTACCGTAAGAAGCTGTGCAACGTTCTCGCAACATTTCCTGCTTGGGGAGAGAGGGTAGGGGGAGAGAGAGAGGGGAGGGGAGAAAGAAAAAGAAAGAAGCAATGAAAGCCTTAAGTATTCTGACCCCTTGTAACAAAAAGTCCCTCGCGTACATTTATCTCTTCAGGTGATTCAGGAGAAGGCCAGGTATAAATTAGGCGCTTGCTCCCACCCTCTCTCTCTCTCTCTCTCTCCTCGCTACACTACCTCGTTTCTTTTTCTCTCTCTCGTTCTCTTTTCTTTCCCTTCTCCTCCTCACTAATCTGTCTTCCCCTCATTACCTTTCTTCCCTCTTCCCCTCATTACCTTTCTTCCCTCTTTCTCTCCCTTTCTTCCCTCTTTCTCTCCAACCTTATTCCTCTCACCTCTCCCCCATTGACTCATTTCACTTCCATCCTCACTACCTTCCTCTCTTCCCTCCTCTCCCCTCTCATTAATTCCCTCTCCACTTCTTACTCCTCTCTCCTCCTCACTCTCTCACCTCCCTCTCATTCACTCCCATCCCTCTTCGTTCCTTCCCCTTCCCACTCACTCTTTCACTTCCTCTCTTTCCTTCTCCTCGCCCTCTTACCCTTTTCCCTTCCCCTCCTCGTCCCCTCTCCCTTCCCACTCATTCTTTCCCTTTTCCACTCACTCATTCTTTCACCTCCCTTCCTTCCCCCTCCTTGCCCTCCCCCTTCCCCTCCTCACCCCTCTCTCCCCTTTCCTCCTCGCCTCTCTCCTCCTTCCCTTCACAAAACATAGGAGAGACTCGGAGCACCACAAGCAGCTGGGTGAAAATTATGGTGTGTTTTTCAGCAATACATTACAAAATCATCCACTTGGTAATAGTGCCATTACCTTGATTAATGGTGAGGAGGGCCACCGGTGCCAGTATTATTTAACCTGACCTAACCTAACCTAACCTAACTTAACCTAACCTAATCAACCTAGTCTAGCCTAACCTAACATAACAAACCTACTTCACGTAATCTAACCTAACCTAACGCAACCTTAGGTAAAGTCAGGTTGAGTTAGATTATAATAGGTTGACCTAGTTTAAGCAAAGTTAAATTAAATTAAGTGATTAAATTACACTAAATAAGACGAGGTTAGGTTAGGTGAGGTTAGGTTAGGTTAGGTTACCGTGTCATCAATCAGGGCCGACGACCACACTTACACAGCTAACCATTAATTACAGGTGTGGGTAATACTACTGGACCCCACCTTTGACTGGGGAGGAAATTAAAGACTCACGGCCTCTTGAAGGTGAGGAAGCCGGCCTGGCGATACCACGACCACGAAGGAATGGCTGTGTAATGAACTTAGTGTGTGTGTGTGTGTGTGTGTGTGTGTGTGTGAGAGAGATAGTACGTGTGTATGAGAGAGAGGGATAGTATG